AACTGAATGTAAAAGTTAGTGAATCTGAATGAAAAATGTTTTAAAATAGCTGGGAAAACCTGTAATATACAGGTTTTCCCGACCAATTTCACCAAGTTTTAGCGCCTGGCTCATTCGATTTAGATTGAAATTGAAAAATCACGCAGATCGGCATTTGACAATCAAAAAGAATCATTCAATTTCACCGAGCATTCTATCGTCTTTTAGCTTCACTCGTCCCTATCAAAGATGCATTCGTATTAAAGGTATCGCGTTGTTCATTCAATTTTGTCTAACCCAGCAGTTAGGGGCTGATTGGGCATTCGTTTTCATTAATGGACAAACATATTTCACATTTTGTCAAACATCTTTTAATACTTCATACGTGTCCGTATTCCTTAGCGTAAATCACATTTGATGTTTTCAATCCGTAGATGCCTTTCTTTCTTAATTAAAGGGTATGTGCAGTAAATTTTTCTCAGGAATTCTTTTTGTGCAACTCTTTACTACTGTGAGATGTAAGAAAACTACACATTTAAACATTGTTGTTTAATCTTATTGCAAAGTGCACTTCTTTAAACATTTAAAAGTTTCCATGCTTTTCCGGACTACGTATGAGCGCGCTGTAACTGCGATGTTATCTTCAGGAAGACACTGTTCAGTTTAGGGGGTTTTCTTTTAAATTATTCATCCAAAATTTGCTAACTGAGAACATTTGTTGGAAAGGGTTGCTCATTGGCTTACTGCCATGTACTGAAACATCAAAGGATCACCAAATAAAAGAAATTTATGACAGCAAAATATCAAAAATTCTAAAAAATTGTTTGTGCTGAAATAGCCATTCAACATTAATCATGCGTGGATGCCATCACAGGTTTTCTAATGAATATGAAACTTTGCATTTGCATAAAAACGGAGAAGGCACCAAAAACACCCTTCAAAGTGAAAAAATAAAACTTGCAAATAGAGTTAAATGTGACAAAAAGATATATTTTCAAGGATATATTTTGCATGGGCCCTTTTAATACGATAAGTGTTCGATCAGACATACGCAAGAAAACATATTAAGAAATAACGCAAGAGAAGTGTTCCCGATGGTACAACCATTGCCAAACTTATACGTGTTCCGATGTCTTGCACGTCAAGAAATCGTCAACGTAAAGATGTTCCTTGCTCAAACGTTTAAACAAGTAGAAAAGATCGACTTACATTGAAACAAAAATATCTTAGTCCCTTTCAATTAATTATTTCGTTACATCTTGTTTCCCTCATATCACTTAATTTTTAATTGTAAATTTTACAGTCATCAAGTTTTTTTGAACCTCCGAGGAAAATAGGAAAATATATCGATTAAAACATCTTACTAATCTAAATGACCAAATATGAAAGCGATTGCCCATAAACGAATAAGAAACGAAATGCATGGTCATACGTTATAAGCGCACAGATGAGTGCGTCAACCGTCAACAGGTTGCAAAAACTTAATTTAAGACTGCTACAAATTATGTCTTGAATGCACAAAAACGAAATAGGATGCCCGAAAACGTAAACGAACATTCAGAGCAAAATCTTGGCTGCCTTAAAATGAAATTGAATGACCCCAAAATGAAAAAGAAACCGCAATTTGACCACATGTGCAAAACTCACGCGAAATTGAATGGCTGGTAATGAAACTTATTAGAAAAAATTCGGAAATTCGCCGGGAAAACCTATATTAGTTAAAAGGAATGAGACATTTTTTTCGTCATTAGTCATACCTTATGAGACACCGAATATTAGGAAGTCGGACATTTCAATGCCTCCCTAATGTCACAGCTCCTATTTAGATGCAAAATATTATCGTCGCCAATTGGCTAGTCTAGATTGATTGCTCTTAGTCCAAAACGTATATCAACATTCGTGGGGTTAGGATGAGGGGAAATCGGGGTCAGGGTCATAAAAGTTGGAAAAATTATGTTTAGGCCTATACATAACTAGGGGAATGTCTCACCTTGGGCACCCTTTCCGTAATTATAGGTTTTCCCGGCCAAGTTAGCAGATTTGGCGGCCAATTTGGTGACCAATCACCCATTTTCGCACGAATTTGAATGCACGGTGAGATCAACATTCAATTACCTAAAAACACCAATCAATTCCACGTTAGAAGCATGCGATTTTACATTTTTATCATGCAATTTCAACAAGGGCATTCAAATTAAAATTGCACAAACGAGCATCCAAATTCGCCTGAGCTTTCAGCTTTGTAAGTTTGGTCATTCGAATTCCCCTTTAAGCAAGGTTATGTGGAAAGTATGCAAAGCAATTCGAAATACATGTAGGTCCATGTCGTTCCGTCGTTTGTTTGAATAAGATGGAGTACTTTTGTTCCAATTTGGAAATATAGATATAAAAACCTGCCTCCCACAAGACTCTGCCACTATAGTCTGATCACCATGCAAACTGTTAGATTGAAGCACTAGACATATCAATATGCCAGCTCATGGGCGTTACATGAGAATTTCAATTGTAGACCATGCTCGTTTGAAAAAAAGTGTTAAATAGAATGCGCGGAAATGAAAACGAAAACAAGAATCTCATGCAAAAAACCCTAAACCAAACCGACTGCTAAATTCGTCACCGACACCACGAACTGACACCCGGTGGTCAGCGTTGTAGAAATACAAATCGGAGAATAACGCTTTTAAAGGTTTGACACGAATTTACTCAGTAAAATAATTCATCTTTCTTAGAGGTTTTAGTATCGCTTAACGTGAAAATGCTTTAACTACTCGATTATAAACGTTATATTGTGAAAATATGCTTAGTTAATTAGCCATTAAATGATTACGATGGGCGTCAGCTCGTGAAAACGAAAATGTATGTGTTTTTGGAGAGTGCGCGCATGCAATAGCGTTAGTGAGTGTCAGTTCGTGAAAACAAAAATTGACGTGTTTTGGGAGAGTGCACGCACACACTGCGCATGCGTGCGCGCACTATTCAAAAACACGTCAATTTTCGTTTTCACGAACTGACACTCCCTAACACTATTGCATGCGCGCACTCTCCGAAAACAAGTACATTTTTGTTTTCACGAACTGACACCCGTCTTAATCATTTAATTGCTAATTAACTAAGCATATTTTCACAATATAACGTTTATAATCAAGTAGTCAAAGCATTTTCACGTTAAGCGATACTAAAACCTCTAAGAAAGATGGATTATTTTACTGAGTAAATTCGTGTCAAACCTTGTGTTTTTATTGTTCCCGGCACTTTGGGCACTAAAGTCAATCCGATTGCCTCTATACTTGGCACATATACGTCATCATGACGTCATCACGTGTCAAGTGACGTCACATTAAAGGTACATATTTTGAAGGCCTGTATCTACAGAAATGCAGTACGATTGGGTTGAAGTTGGTTGTACCTAGACCGGGATGTGTTATAGATGTAAATCGAAGTTACGTCATAATGACGTCATCATGTTTTATGTGACGTCACTATGTATTTTCATTATAGGAACTATAGGTCCGATTTGTTTGTAACTTGGTGTGTGCCTGAATTGAATGTGTTTTAAATGAACATTTAAGTGACGTCATGATGACGTCATCATATGTCATGTGACGTCACATTGAACAGCTTTTTTCTAAGGCTTATATCGATTTAACTATAAGTCCGCTTTTATTTGAGTATGTATGGGGGGACCCTTCGTGCACCTCCCCGCCCCCCCCCCCCCCAGAACTAACATTCACTAATTTTGGGGGTGCTTTTTTAGGGTCCTTAAACATATTTTGGATGTTAACAGTAAAACAATCCGATGCGAAGGAGATATCCAAGATGGCGCCAAAAATTATAAAAACAGGGAAAAAAAAGGCATATATATGCCAAATCATGCGATAAAAGCATAAATTAAATGGTTAGTTATGATTTAGACCCTCAAAAACTCATTTCTGGTATGCTTGTTTTACTGTCTTACTTCAAATTCAAGATGGCGGGCATTTTGGTGGCCAATAAGGCCGCCATATTGGTAAAAAATTGAAAAACTCATATATCAGCCTAATATGATAAAATCAAAAGTGAAATGGTTAGTTATATGTTTTGACCCTCATAAATTCATTTTTGGCCTTAATATGGCCTCCAAAGCGGTCAAATGTGAGAAAAATGATATATATTAACCAAATGATATGATAAATGCATACATTTAGATATTAGATACATGCTCTTAACCCTTTCCAATTCATTTCAAGCATTCTTTCGTTTTGCTACCATGAACCAAATTCAAGATGGCTGCCAATATGGCTGCCAAAATGGTCAAATTTGAGAACAGATATATATCGGTCAAAGATGTAAATGATATATCAATGAAAGTTGAGATTATGTACTTGAGACTTCATTGCATATCTAGATTTGTCTTACTTGCAAAAATGTTCGAAATTCAAGATGGTGGTCTAAGTGACGGTAGTAACGCCGGGCTTTCATCACCGGTAGTTTGGCCGGTAAGTTTAATCCTCTTCAAACTGACCGACAACCGGCCAGACTCTAGCTGAGGCACCCATCCACTACGGGCGATCTATTGTGTTCATGACTGATAATTGCGGGTCCAACATCTGGGACCCAATTATGGGGAGTATTTAAACCTAACCCCTAACCTCCTCGGTCAACAAAAGGCCTTGCCTGCGTGACTGCTATGGAAATTAACTGGCCACTTTCCTCGGGAGTCAGTTACAGGCGATTGATTATGATATATTATTAAGGGTTACTTCCTGCTAGCTTCTTTTGATAAGTATTACTTTCATAGAAACCAACTGTTAGGTAATACGCTAAAACAAAATGTAATGAATAAATATATGCAAGCCATTCATCTATGGAAAGATAGAGTCTGGAAACTGTTAACCCCATGTTTACACAATAGACACCAATCCGCTTGGAACTCTTTGTTTAACTTTGGAGGCTGGCAGGCTGCATACCAGAAGGTTGTTCGTTGAGTGACTGAGGGGCAAAAGTACCGGCTGAGGATCATAACGACCTCAAAGGGCTGGTACATGGCAGCGCAGTGGAAGAGGTCAGATCATGGAGGTAGAATTAGATGAACCCATCCAGGAATTTCTACCTCCTAGAGAGCACAATATATTTGGCTGACAAAGGGCCGCCATATTTGCCGCCATATTGGTCGCCATTTTCAAAATTGAAGCATGATAGCAAAAAAGAGATACCAAAAATGAATTTTCGAGGGTAAAAAACATTTAACTATCAATTTTATTGATGCTTGTGTCACATTATTTGGCTGATATATGACTTTTTTTTTCAATAAGGCAGCCATATTGGCCGCTATATTTGCCGCTTGGGATGTACAAGACAGGGATGTGTTACAAATGAATTGTTAAGTGACTCATGATGACGTCACTTCCAGTAATGTAACGTCGCATTAAAGGTTCATTTTTCTTTGCATATACCTGCAAAACTACTGTCCAATTTGGTTGTGGGAATGTACCTAAGCCACGGTGTGTTATAGATGAAAATTGAAATGACATCATAATGACGTCATCACCTTTAAAATGTCGTCACATTAGAGTTTCATTCTTCTAAGACCGATATCTACGGAACTATTGGTCCTTATCATTTCTGCAACATTCTACTGCACATGTACAGCCCATTAGTCTATAAAATGACAAGCCGAAACAGCCATGTGTTTTTCCACAAACACAATCTAGTTTCTTTATTGTTCTCACTGATAATGCAGTGGTCAGTACGGTCTCGGCCCGAGTCTGTACCCTGATGATTGATCTAGGCTCACGCAGTTGCGGCCAGCGCATGGGGAGATTTGTCCTGCCACCGGGCGATCCTTGCACCTGTACAGGGGTCAGACTGGGCGGTCATTACCACCGCTACGCACCTGAGATGCAGGGACAGGATCCACCGTTGTATATGGACATGCTGCCGGAGGTGACTGCTGAGGTCATCGGCCGTTGGTTCAACTGCACCGCGAGCAAACCGGTGGAGTCGACTCTCGGAGTCACTGAAACCGCCCCAGAGTTGACTTCTAAAGTTGCCCCGGGGTCGACACCTGTCGCATCGACTCCTACCGATACGACACCAGTTGTCAGCACCACCCCTGAGCCGTCGATGCCGCCTGCAGATTGTCAAGTGATCTTAGATGCCGGTCAGAATTCTAGCGGTGTGTATACCATCCAGCACGCACGCCAAATTATGCAGGTCTACTGCCGCATGGAGCCGGAGTCGGGGAAAGGATACATAGTGAGTACAGTTCCTTATTTTCTCTAAACCATGCTGTATTTATAACATGGCTCGGTGGTGCATTGCCAATTTAACCCTAACCCTAACCGGGAGTAACACAATCTATGTTGTCGGAACATAGGGGTGTCGGAACATAGAGTAGTCACCAGTGAACCAGTAACATTAACAAATACGCGCTGGAGCTAACGAGAAGTGGGCAGATGCACTATGCAACTGCATATATTATTATCTGTCGCTGTTTCCTACTATTGATAAAACTATTCTTTCTAGCGAAGAGATTTTTTTGGGTTTTCCAGTTCCGTATTCTCCCCAGCCAAAAATAAGATAAAATATAGCTATATACAGAAAGATCCTGATACCTGGTCAATCTGTACTAGATATTTGAAGTCAAGAAACAAGTCTTGATGCGTGTTTGTTTTCAACTTCTGGTACCGGGTACTGTTGTAGGAACTCTTGCATGAAACGCAAAGTAACCACTGTAAAATAATGGAACGTCCGTGCATACGCGATCTGAACCAGTATAACATTAACATAATCGCCCCGAGCGGGAAGTGGGAAATTGCAACATGCAAAGTGCCAAAATTTCACCTGTCCCAGCCATTTGTAAATTTACTTGCGATTCCAAAGATGAGTATTAGTTTTGCTTTACAGCTCTGTATTCCCGCCAGCTAAAAAGCTCGATACCGAGGTACCGTGATGCCTGGTTAACTTAGTTTTCAGGCAGATCTTTTAAATGTAAAGTGTTCCCAAAGTCCTTGTCTAAGTCTTGGACTTCGCAAATCACACCGTTTGATTCGCTATTCTATATGAAGCCCAGGAAGGGACAGGGTGGAATTTTTTTTTGGAGTTTGCTAATTCGTTCGCACGAATTAGTAATTCGTGGGAACGAATTGGCAAACTCCAGTAATTCGTTCGCACGAATTACCAATTCGTTCGCACGAATAACTCCAGTAATTCGTTCGCACGAATTACTAATTCGTTCCCACGAATTAGGAATGCGTTCCCACGAATTAGGAATTCGTGCGAACGAAATAGCAATTCGTGCGAACGAATTACTAATTCGTGCGAACGAATTAGGAATTCGTGCGAACGAATTAGGAATTCGTGCGAACGAATTAGGAAATTCCAAAAAAAAAATCCACCCTGTCCCTTCCCGGGCTTCATAATTCTATCTAAAACAAAATAAACAAAATAAAATAAAGTTAAACCTGAACAAGGGTAGTAAAGCGGAGGTGAAAAAAAGTGTCCCAGTTTTATCGTCACTCATATCGTTTTTTGACAGGTGTTTCAGAGACGTCTGGACGGCACGGTGAGCTTCAACCGAACCTGGCAGGAGTATGCCGAGGGATTCGGGAATCTGACCGGAGAGTTTTGGCTCGGCAACCAGAAGCTGCATAGTCTGACTGGTAACGGGAGTTGGGAGCTGGTCATCACTCTGAGGGCGTTCGATGGGGACGAGGCCCGTGTTCGTTATCAGAATTTCGAAATACACTCGCACAGTTACTGGCTTGACGTCAGTGGCTTCAATGATGAGAGTGGAGATGCAGGTACGTAATACCCCTTTGCTTTTATTACCGTTCCCTTTCCTATCACACATCAGCATGTCTTCTCTCTAAACTCAAAATAATGAAACTAGGGATTAGACGACTTAAGAGTGAAACTCACCCTCATTGTGTGATTGCGAACGACCCGATCACTGTTATGAAATGGTCAGAGCCCTTTGGTTTCGTCTACCTTCTTTCCTCGTTTTCGTGTTCTTTGAATTGGTTTTGTTTTCTTCTGGACAATAATTCTCCGCGGCTTGTCTTTAAAACGGAACAACGAACTTCAAAAGGGGTATGAACATCAATCCCGATACCGAGGTAGGCATACAAGTGTGACGTCATGATTAAGTCATCAGTTGTCAAATTACAATCAATTTTAGTAACAAAACTGACCGCTTTGTTTCAATCATAATTCTTGACCAGAGCAGCAAATCAAGTTCACACTTTGCGATCTGATAGACCATGTACATGAAGTCGCTTGAGCTTTACTCCCGGGGTTAGCGGAATGTCAAAGTTAGGAAAATTCAACATACCAAAAGATGCGAGCATATTATAACAAACGGAATTGCTGCTTAAAGATTCAAAGGAAGAAGATGAAACTCTGTTCAAACATGAACTATTGTCCAAAGATGTGACAATTGTTTGACGTCATCATGACGTCATAACATATCAAATTACAAGCGATCACCCACTGTTTGTAACTCAACAAAGTTAACGCGAATCCCTCTTTTGTTTTGATACTTCGCTACAAAAAAAGAAGGAACTTCGCCGCAACTACGTAAATGACCTATGCGTTAAAAAACATACTGGTATGTATTGTGACTGGTACACCAGTGGTGCCAAAAAAAACAGCTGTAGCTTTTGTCGCTCTGACTCCCCTGCATTTATAAACCAGATCAAAAAATCATTTGGGAGAAGATTGAATGATTACTTTCGAGATTGGAAGCAAACTTTGTTCTCTATTTTGTGTAGAATGCGGTATAAGTCTCGGGATGGAAAACGGAAGCATCCCCGATTCCGCTATCTCGGCATCAAGCAGGTACACGGACGGGGACTCCTCTCGCAGCACAGATAACTGCCAAGCGAGTCACGGCCGGCTGAACTACCTGGGCACCAGCGGTGGAATCACTGGGGGCTGGTGCCCATGTTCGAAACCCGACTCGTGGTTGCAGGTGGATTTGGGATGGCGGCTGCAGGTGGAAGGAGTCATCATCCAAGGCAGCTTTGACCCCCTGGAGACCTGGTCTGAGTGGGTAACAGAGTACCAGGTTCAGTACAGTGATGACCAATCCAATTGGCAGTATGTGATACAGTCAACAGGGACTAGTCCACAGGTAAATAATCCATTGCATTTAGTAAAAGAAACGATGACGTCACTATGTGACGTCTATGCATCTTGGGAATATTTTCACAGCACTCAACCCATTGTGGAAACGGCGGCACAAGCACCAGCTGAGTCCCAACCCTGGGGCACAATTTCATATGCGTAACTGCCTTTCCGCGACATATTCTCGTTTACCCATAAAATATCAACATTCTATTCGTGTCCTAGTAAAAATTGCCTAAAACAGTTCAGAATGGGACAGTGCAAGTAGTGGAGGAAAACAATAATTGGTGCAGTGAAAAGGACTTGGTAATATTGTTGACTCCATTGTTTTTATTTACATTATATGTATTTCATAGACATTCCCAGGCAACATAGATCAAACCACCCCGGTCACCAGCATGTTTGACCAGCCGATCCGAGCTCGCTTTATCCGCATCAGGCCGACTGCATACAACCGTTGGCCGTCAATGCGTATGGAACTCATCGGCTGCAAAAGTATGTAAAATTTTCTTCATCACAGATCCTCTTATGGTCATATTTGTATTCAAATGCAGAATGGCTGAATACATTTCGTATTATTACAGAAGAAGACACATTCATCCGCCCTTCCACACTCTCCCCAACTGCCGTCTTTTTGACCATCCCCTCAGCTAGATCTCCACCGGCAACCACGCCACAGGGTGTGGTCTTTGTGTATTTAAAAGCTTGTGGGTGATTATGCACATCTGATCACCGTTTTAAAATGGCCAACAATGGGTGTTGGGGCTTCACAAAAAAAATACCCTTTGGTTTTTTCTTCTTTCTTTCGTTTTTTCGTACTCTTGTTTGACAATAATTATCCGCGGCTTTACTTGCAAACGGAACAACGCATGAACTTCAAAATTGGTATGAACATCAACCCTGGTACAGAAGTGTGCATACAAGTGCGACGTTATGATGACTTCATCAGGTATTAAATTTCGAGCAACTACTACAGACAAACATATTATTGCAGTGTTTAGTGGGGAATGTGAAACATAAAACAAACTAGAGATTCGCGTTTGTTGTTACAAACGCAGAGTGGTCGGGTAGACAACTATTTTACGAAACACTGTCCAGTTAAGTTATGAATATTTTTATGTAAGAACAAAGTATCAGGAAATTAAATCATTTCCAGGACAATCAATTAAATTTCAGTAAACATGTACACATACAAGTTATTTCTGGCTTGATAACGTCATTAGTCAAAAACGGGAAGTGAATACTGATTTAGTTATGAGTGGATGTTCATTGTGAAGTTAAATAACGTATGAAAATTTGGAAACTATAAGTGTATGTATTCATAACACCGAACTTCCGGTTTCATGACGTCACAGTGTTTGGAAGCAAAAGGTGAACATTGTAATGGTATCGTTATTTGGGCTAAGATATACGACATGGATCAAATGATGGAATTAAATTTAAAATATGATCGTTGGCATATTCTCATAAAAGTAACTTCCAGTCTGATGACGTCATGAGTTTGAAACCTTGCCAAGTTATCTGTGGTTCATCAAAGAATATCAAGGGTCGATTTGGTAAAATTTGAACCCATGGTTTTAAAAGTAAAGAAAAGAAACAATAGTTTATGTGCCGCTAGGGGCGCCCTTTCGGATGATGACGTCATCACACTGGGTTTTTTTTGTGTATGGCATTCCTCACTAAACACTTTCATAATATATGAGTCTGTAGTAAAATGCTTTCGCTTTTGAGTTATATTCAGTTTTTATTGCACTTTCGGTAACACCGGAAGTAAAGGTCAAGCGGTTTTGTGTCTGGGAACACAAAATGTTTCTCACGGCATAGTCTACAACCTCACGAAAAAACGAACACGATACTCTATTTAGTTCAAAAGATATAACGGAAACTATTTTGTCAAAATTTGTGTATGGCATTCCTCACTAAACACTTTCATAATATATGAGTCTGTAGTAAAATGCTTTCGCTTTTGAGTTATATTCAGTTTTTATTGCACTTTCGGTAACACCGGAAGTAAAGGTCAAGCGGTTTTGTGTCTGGGAACACAAAATGTTTCTCACGGCATAGTCTACAACCTCACGAAAAAAACGAACACGATACTCTATTTAGTTCAAAAGATATAACGCAAACTATTTTGTCAAAATTTGCCTTAACTCGCTTGTAATTTGATACCTGATGACGTCATGATGACGTAACAAAATTTTTAACATCTTCGTAACATGGTAATGTCAAGAAATCTCTCCAGGCAGCCATTTACACTGCCGTCAGTACCGCCAGACCAAATTGGCAAACTGTTCGGTGCCGACACAGAGTAATCGAGGATGCTTTTTGAAGGGAAAAATCAGTCCGGTAGTTTGTCAAATCCTGCTGACACACAGAAGGAAGCTAATCTTCCCGCTGATCCCCTGTGGGTGATTTTTGGTCCGAAACTGAAGCGCTTGGTTTTTTTTCTTTGAAGTTTGTTGGTTCTTATCTAAGTTGGCATTGCACCTACATTCATCTCCTCTGATTAATTCAGTAAACCTGGTTTTAAAAATTGGGTCAAACTGCAAATAGCCACGGCGATGTCCCATACCAACCATTTTTTCTTCAGTACCTATTTTAAGTAATTTCACGTGCAGTGCCTTTGATGTCTTGGGTCCAATCTGGACAAAATCTATATCATGAGAAACTGCCCTTTTTTTTCAAAAAAGAAAGATCTGGATTTGTGGACAGTTTTGCTTAAGTGTTGGGAGGAACTTGTTTCACAAGTTATGCTATAAAACTCTTGTGACACTAGGGTTGATTGCAAGGAATATTTTTTAAATAGGTCACTCTCTAAAATTGAACTTCTGGCCCCATATGTTCCGGCGTTTTATGGAATTCCTCATAATAGCTTCTATTTTCAGGGGCCTCTGGACACCATTAAAACAATTTCAGTACTGATCCATAGATTTTGCAACATGATGTACAAGGTCAATATAAGGCTATTATTATTCATTGCCGCTATAAAAAGTGCAGCACCAGCCCAGGAATGAGGCGATCGGGGGGGGCTTAATTTGCAAAAACAATCATGAATGGGTATACTGCAGTAATTGGGAGATTTGTTGTGTTCTTTGAGACACCGGAATTTAATGTTCCAGGCTAATTTGTGCGGGGTTCGGTTATTGCTCCAAGTTAATTGAAATTTACCGGTGGCATCATTTGGCATTGTCACGCATTGTGGTAATGGGGCGTCATACATGTAGTGGTGAAAATGTCCAATTACATGTATTACTTTTATGTGACATCTGTGAAGGCTCTCAGGCATGACTTCACGCTGTTGTGTGCCTTTACTTTGTAGAGAGTATTGTGATAACTTAATTGGCAGGCAGTGGGTAGTGAAATGTTTTAAACAAAGACGAAGGAGCTTCCTTAGTTTTCAGGTTTTTTCTCTAATATAATAGTTCATGTTAAGAGCCCGTAGACATAAATTCTGAGATCATGACGACTCCACAGGAAAAAGAAAGAAAGAATTCTGGTCACGAGCATCCCTAGAAGGGGGGGGGGGCGTGGAGGATATGACCCCCCCCCCCTTAATCGTTTTTGTCGTCAAAATCGTTGTCTTGTCGGCAACGTCAGCCCCGTCGGCAAATTTGCCGGATTGAAGAGCACCAGATTTTGTCCGATACTGTCCATGATAGTCCGATTTGAACGGCAGCCCCATAGGAAGACTGAAAACCCAATCCACATGTGGACCTGGCCAGGAATTGAACTCGGGCCATGGAGGTGAAAGGCCAGGAAGAACTTCTGCGCCAACCCGATTAAAACAGACAAATTGTGATCTGCAGTCTGTCAGGGAATAAAATTACAGTCAGGCTGCGACTGACATCTGCACTTTTCCCGTCAATATTTATGTATCTGATCTTCCAATCTCCAAGGAGATGGCACCATAACAGAAGAAAACGGGGATAAGTTACACGAACTTGCACGGCCTGCACGGCTAGCAACAGACACGCGTCGCAAGGATGCCGCTTTTAATAATAAAAAGTTCACACAAGGTTTTGTGATCATACCGTGAACCGTTTGGAAGAAATTTTGTTTTGTTTTGATGTCAGGCTAACGTCTTCATTTTGAATTCACCTAACTTTGACCTTCCGGTAGACCCGGAAGTAAAGGTCAAGCAAGTTCACGTACACAACAAAAAAATGTTTAGCGATTAATGGTCTATCTGATTACAGAATACAAACATCATTGAATATTTAGTTCAAGAGTAATAGGTGAAAATAATTGGTCACTTTTTCAGATAAAATCACTTGTAATTTGACACCTGATGACGTAATCATGTCGTCAAAGTAATATGCACCACTTCGGATGAGGGTCGATATATATTGAAAGTTACAAGTTCATACTATATACCGTTTAACAGAAAACCCGCGGAGAAGTATTGTCCGGAAAAAAGAGTGGTCGGGTTGTGCCCGACCACTCAATGATGACATCATCATCCGAAAGGGCACCCTCTAGCAGCAAATCAAAGACGGTTGAACTTTTTTAATTTAAAAACTAATGGTCAAAATTGTACCAAAATGCCCCTAGATATTTTTGGGAAAACCACAAATGACTTTGCAAGGCTTCGGAAACATGGCTTCAGTAGACCGGAAGTTTTTGGGAAGTTTTTGAAATTTTTTAATTTGTTTTTTATTTTTTAAATTTAAAAATTCGTGTTTAATTAATATATTCGTAGCATAAATAAGAAGCATCAGTGGCGGTTCTGGGGGGGGGGGTCTAAAATGTTGTCTAGCCCGCCCCCCCCCCAAAAAAAAGTCCATAAAAAATTGCACTAGCCAAATGTAAGAATGTGACGTACATGCGAACAGTCTTCCCCTAAATAAATAGTCGTGAGAAGGATGCATTTGTACACTTTTAGTTTATATATATTATAGTGTACCGGATTGTAGGATTTCATCAGCGCTCCCAATTAGAAATATGGCGGCTAGAACCGCGCCTGAACAGCATCCGGTACAATACGTTCACAATACGATACTAATTCTGTGACGTCAACAAACCAATTGAAACGGAGGAACATGTATTCTCTCTTAAACTAAATCAATATTTTCTTTGCATATTGTAACTGATCAAACGTCATCAAACCGGAAATAAGGTGTAGGTGTAAGTATAATGTATACTGAAATAAATCAAACACCAACAGATGTATTTTTTTTTCAACTTAAAAGTAATGGCTCCACTGGAAAGGCTGCATTTCGTGATCCTTTGTTGTCTTCAGACACAAAACCTATTCACAACTATATGGAAAATGTCCCATGAATTATTTGCGGGCTCGATCACGCTGTGTTTGCAGTGTCAGACAATTCTGGTTTAACTGAGGTCTTTTCATCTTATTACTAAAAAAAAATTGTTTAATCTGCAGGCAATAATCTATCTGTACCCAATACCGAATGAATGTTTTATTCGGCAGCTTGTCTAGCATACAATGAAATCATTATGTCCAAAATCAGTGTCGTCACAAAAACAGTTTTTTGGAGGTTTACGGGAAAATCGTCAAATATTTCCGGTTGATGGGAAAATCATGAAGTGGGTCGAATACACCGTTGACAGTTATAGCAGTTAGTGTCATGCCCATGATGCATACCATGAGGTAACTTTACCTTGAACGAATACCGATGGCCATGTTTACAAACGAAAAATAACGAAATGAGATCGTGCCTAAAAGAAATAACAAAAGGAAAGGAATCAGTTTAAATGTCGTTTGATAAGTAGTCCGTTCGTGCAAATGTCCATGCAGCATTCATCATCCACTAATGTACTTATACAAGGTCTGACGATACCTCCTCTCTTATGCACACAGTTACAGGTGATTCACTCGGGCGTCATAGTTCTGGAAACTTCTCATCTCCAGACAAAGACCATGACCAGACCGACGGTGAAAAATGCGCTGAGAAATTTCAGGGAGGCTGGTGGTACAAGAGTTGCGATAGCGCCATCAGCGACTACTTAACTAGCAATCTGAACGGCGTGTACTACAACAACGCAACAGTCGATGATTACATGGGGATACAGTGGGTCACTTGGAAGGGTAAACAGGTCTCTCTTAAATGGTCCGAAATGATGACACGACGCAGACCGTAACCGGTGATGGGAAGAATCTGTCATTTTGAAAGACAACGATTAAATTTGGGGTATGGGGGGGGGGGGCGCCAGGCCTTACTTTGGAGTATTGTTGATCGAGAAATGCACTTAAAATTCAACTTTTCTCGGCAAGAGCAAAAATGACATAAAGTCTAAATCGTCAGGTGCGTGGAAGAAAGTCGTTACTAGGCAGAACATGGGTCAAAATGTCGATTTCGGATTTTGGGGGTAATCAATAGAGCATGGAAATATCTTTCACTTGATATAGGCCTACATTTTGTCTCAAAGGGCTACGTCATACTGACGTAATTAACAATAACAGTTGCAGTTAAAAAGAATACAATGGTTACAAATGAAAAGTCAGCGGAGGGGAAGCGAAAGTTTCTCATTTCGGTAGTGACACCACGAAGTAGCACTCATATATACCAGTAAAAACTAGCTATTGGAGAAAACGGCATCTAAAGTTGAACGCCTTCACCCTTTTGGAACAGTTGTGGGTCAGAAAAACATGTAATGTATTCTAATCAGTAACCAAATGGTATTTGATGTTGTGAGCAACAGTAGTGATATCACTTTAATATACATTGTGTTTAATGTTTAACTGTATATTCAAGTATCTATTTATTAATAGGGTAATTATTTTACATTATACGGGATCCGACTCAGTAAAGCCAGTCACGTGAGAAATCACAAGAGCTACTTCCAAAGGGCAACAAGCCCTTTGAATCATCTTGCACAATAATGATTTGGAAATGTCAATGTGGCCAATGTTTCAATTCACTAAAAATGTTAAACTGGGTGATCTATAAACAAATACACATACTTTCATATCATAAACGTGGGTTCTGCTGAATCTGGTGTGTAAAAATATTGATTAAGAAAATATTTTAGTTTGTTGCAATTTGGTGAATGTTTTGGATATTGTGAATAATAGTACTGTTGGAAATTGTACTGCATAATGGACAGCGTGTTTAATTTTCCTAGTAACTTTTACTGTCAATGTGAACAAATCCATTAAAAACAGTCTGAAGTTGCCAGTGGTAATTCTGAGTTATAGGCACGTAATTAAACATACTATTTTACATCATCACTGAGATGTTGTTGTATATAAAAATGTAGTGCTGCGCGTTCGCATTTATAGTGGAAAAGTAAAAATGAGTGAATTACTGTCAAAAAAATTCTTGTTTTTTAAGGTTTTGGTCACATTGTACGTATTCTGAATTGTCAATACATCAATGGACGTTAGAACTATGATACTTTGTAGAAATAATCTACAGAATTTCGCAAACGGGCAACAGATTTTTTTTTTAAGTCGCGTCTGGATTAGGGCGACACGCCTTATTGGGGCGACAATTAGGTGTCACCCTATTGTTATACCCTTAGGGCAAGGAATTCTAGATTGATTCCTCGTGGTCCAATTAGTAAAAAATACAGAATTTCGTGGAGAAAGGATAAGGTACACTTGGGTTGGGTGACAGTTTAGGTTTGTGCACAAGTCTATGGGAGGTCGCCCTATTATAGCATTAGTAGAAATTATTATATTAAATGTTACTTGTTATTATGTTGGTGGTTATTACAAAAATTACAGACAGCGTGTTTGATATATTCATAGCATAATATATTCCATTTACATTTTATATGTTTGGAACAAAACAAATGAGTTTCCAAAGCTCATTTTGAGTTTCAAATTGTGACGGATGTTTTACTCTCATTATTATGACAAGTATGTCGAGTTGTGAAAAGCCTAGCTACACTTTGCCGGTTCTTTTACATACGAAAAATTAAAACACTTGAAAACAAAAGTGGCCCAAAAGTTTTTTACTCTGGCAGGGGGTTTTACAAGTCACTTGTGTGTCGGTCGGTCGGTCGGTCTGTCAGTCCCCGAAAATTGACCAAAAATATGTTACCAAAATTGAGCAAATGCCATGCCGTCATCAGTAAATGCACTCTAAAAATTGTTTGTGACAATTCGTAAAGACGTTTACGAAAATGGTGGAAACGGAAGCAAGGTAATGTGCAGCAATGATATAGCGACGTGGTATTGTCTGTATTGGTTGGACGTATCCAGAAGGAGGAAATGAAACTTGGCCAAAAGTATGGTGTTCCATATGTTACATCAGCGTCGCATTGCTTCGAAATTTCCGTATGCTTCTGCCGACTTTCCTAAACATTGTCAGGAATGTTGTTGGGTTTTTTTTTATAATATAAGATCAGGTGGTGGCGCTGCTTTAGGCACAAGACCTTTCGATATATCACAACTCGTGATGACAATCGATGTGCACAATATGGGCTTGTGACTCCAAAATATATTTGGTGACTTTGAATTCATTGAGTCCGATCATATTGCATGGACATGTAATGTAATTATAACATTGATATGTATAGAATATTTGATGGCTTTGAGGGAGATACAAGAATATAAGAAAGAGCAACGAGGAGTGCAGTATTGTTATAGCGAGCATGGGTGTCGCCAGTGCGGGGGGGGGGGGGGCAAGGGGGTCACTCCCTGGACACCACATGTTTATATCTGCTTCATCACACGTTTGTTTGCGATAAGAACAATACACGGTTGCAGGAAACAAAAAAACAGGGTTCAGGCGCGGATACCCCACCTCTGTCAAAAAAAAATTATTATTATTTTAACGTGTATGGAACGTAACCGTAAATGTAGCAACGGTATGTAGCTCCCAAATGTCTCGATAAATATATTTACTGATTGTGGGAGTGCTTTTTCTGGCGTCATCATTCGATTTGATATTCTACCTGGACTACATTGGACCATCAAGAGTGAGTTATGAGTCCAAAAAGGGGTAGAAATCCTTCCAAAAGCAATGTATCAGATCTCGAATCTACTGGTAACCATGAAGCTGGATCCATTCAACATGTGTCTTCACTTGAACAACAAAGACAAAAGGCACAATTGTCATCTTCACACGATGACATAACACAACACAAAGGGACGACCCAACAAGGTATCTCTTCTACACCAACAGCTAAGACTGTACCAGTTGACGCCAACAGCAACCCCAAACAAAATGCTGAACTTCGGGAACAGATTGCTAAATCTATCATCGACGATCCAGCTACCCTGAAAGCCATCGTTGATCCCATCGCTACACTCCTCGCAGACAAGATCATCGACTCTGGTCTCATGATGGGTAAGCTTGCAGATAGTCTAGTTGCAAGTAAGCTTTTTGTAAATAATTTCATCAATGGCCAGCAGACTATTTCCAACTTACCAGATATTGCCGACTCTTTTAATGACTACTTCTCTAATATTGGTTCCAGACTTGCTAACAAAATCCCTCCTTCAAATGTACACTTCACAGACTATTTGCACATCTCTAACAATTCTTCTCTTTTCCTTACACCAACCGACTCTGATGAAATCTTTCAGATTGTTCAAGATCTTAAAGGTGATACGTGCTGTGGGTTTGATGCTATCCACCCTTCTGTTGTCAAGTCTTCTATTCCTTTTATCTCTCATCAACTGGCTCACATCTTTAATCTCTCTTTTCTAACTGGATCTGTACCTTCTAACCTTAAGATTGCTCAGGTTACCCCTGTTTTCAAAGCTGGCGATCGCCATGATTTTTGTAACTATCGTCCTATTTCTGTTCTTCCCTGTTTTTCAAAAATCTTAGAAAAGCTTGTCTATAAGCGACTTTTCAAATTCCTTTCCCAATTTCATCTTCTTTATGACCGGCAGTTCGGTTTTCGGACCAGTTACTCTACTGATATGGCTCTGATCCAACTTGTTGATTCTCTGCCCAACTCTCTTTCTGATAAGCTATCTTCTATTGGTGTTTTTATCGATATTTCTAAAGCCTTTGATACCATCAACCACTCTATTCTTCTCTCTAAACTTGAACATTACGGCATTAGAGGCATCTGTCATCAGTGGTTTTCTGATTATCTTAACAACCGCAAACAGTTCACCACTATCAAACAATCTTCTTCTTCTCTTAAAATAATTGATCATGGCGTGCCTCAAGGTTCTATTCTTGGTCCTCTTCTTTTCCTTATATATGTTAATGATCTTCACTGCTCCTCTAACGCTTTGTCGTTTATTATTTTCGCTGATGACACTACTTTTCTTTCGTCTCATACAGACTTTGATTCCTTGGTTAGTAACCTCAATACCGAGCTTACTAAAGTTTCTTCCTGGTTTCAAGCCAACAAACTCTCTCTCAACTCTAGCAAAACTAAATACATGGTCTTCTCCAGGTCTCAGAATTGTTGTGGTAATGGAACAGTTAAAATCAATGATACTGCCATTAGTAAAGTCCATTCCACAAAATTCTTGGGTGTTACCATCGACGACAAACTTTCCTGGTCTAACCGCATTACTACTGTCTCCAAAGTCATCGGCCGAAACACTGGTGCACTTTCTAAGCTCCGCTCCTTTCTCCCATCTACCACTTTATTTTCTCTTTACAATACTCTCATTCTCCCCTATCTGAACTACTGCAATATTGTGTGGGCACGAACAAGCACTAACAAACTTAAATCTCTTATTACCGTACAGAAAAGGGCTATTCGTATTTGCACACTGTCCCATCCTCGTGATCACACAGCACCCTTGTTCGCCAGATTACACACACTAACAATCCCCGACATTAATAAACTTCAAACTGGTATAATGATGTACAAATATACTAATAACCTTCTTCCTCGCACTTTCTCCTCATATTTCACCTCAATTAACGATATTCATCAATACCATACTAGATCACATAATAACTACTACATCCCTCTTGCACGCACATCATACGTAATGAACACTCTTCGTTTTCATGGACCTCGTCTATGGAATGGACTCAGTCAGTCTATGAAATCGCAGTCCTCTGTTGGCCGATTTAAAACCACTTTCAAGAACCATCTTATCTCCCAGTATATAGCATAGTTTGCTTTGTCTTTTGTTGGTTTTTCTACATTCATACCGTTTGCTTTAATTGTGCTTTCTTTTGCTTGCATCATCCATTTTTTAAACTGTGTCGTTGTATCACTAGTATGTTTCGTATGTCCGTCTGTAAAGTTTATTAAGATTACGTCCACTCCGTTTGTTTGTCTGTTTCTGTTTCATTGTTTTGTTTTATTGTGTTTTGTCTTTTGAATTTAGTCTTCCTTTTTCAGTATTGTTTATATATATATTTTTTGTTGTGTTTAAGGCATTCCGTTTATAAGCTTCGGCTTCTTGTGTAATGCCTCCACTTAGTAGTTTTCATGTAACAATTGTTTTGTTTTCTAAAGTGCTTATTCATGTGGAAATAAATGTTTCTGAAATGAAATGAAAAAAAATATACAAATTCCTTAAAAATAAGTCGACCCCCCCCCGTGACACGCCCCCCCCCCAAAATATATAATGTCCGCCTGTTCAAAATATGGTACACCATTCTGTAATTTAGTGTTATTAATTATTATCGTCGAATTTGAACAGCGCCCCCTATTGAAATATGGAACCAGCCCCCCCCCCCCATTTTTTTTTAATTTACGGAGACCAAGTGCCCGGAAAAAAAAAAACCTGTGTACATTCAGATTTTTTTGCTGATGAACCCCCCCCCCCCCCCCCCCCCGCGAAAACTCCTGGATCCGCCCCTTGGGTTTTGAAGCATCGCTCATTGTACATACTTATATATAATTAATTCAGTTTAATCGAGTGTGATTGTTGTAGATTGTATTGTGTGCATTTACATGTTATCAACCCTGTCAGAACCAGTTAATTTTGGTTCTTTATGCATGGTAATTTACACATTTCTGGGCCGATTTTCCAAACGATTTCTAGAGATTCTAGATTTTTATTTTGTTCTCATCATGATTCTCCCAACCCCAACCAACGGATAACTCAAGAACTTTTCCGGTGAATTTGTAGTTGACCTTTAATGGCCCCCACATGAGCTTTGCTCTCCACTATTTGAAGACAAAAGTGTGTCGTCCCACCCTTGGGTCACTGCATCTAGGTTTCACGTATTACATCAGAGCATGTATATTTTGCGCGTGTGAAGTACATGTACATACATGATGAGTTTTCCTGGCTATTTTAAAACGTTCATCATTCAAATTCAACGTTACTTATATTCAAATTCGTCCATCAACACCGATTTAGTGCACTTCAAATGTTTAATGTCGTCTTTTGTCAGACACTTTTGAATTCAGTTCAAGCAAATTCAAACAAGGAGCACACGTTTTTGTTTTCGATTGCGTCTCGTCTACGCTAAACCTTGTTAGTCAGAAATCAAATTCGTCTCATTGATTTATGTATGACGAATTTGATCTCTGCATGCTGCCATTCGGTAACAGCTTAGACGAATTTGATCTCTAATGACGAATATTCTCGGTCCGGTGACTAAAGAGAGTGACCAAACTATGAAATCTAATGGTAAATGACTAACTATGTTTTGTTACAAGCGTATGAAACATTTCTTGGACAAAATTGAATGTTGGAGTTGGTAAATTTGAGGAAAAAATGCTTTAAAATAGCTGGGAAAACCTATATTATTGATCTCAGTTAACCTTTTTCGCCAATGACCTACTGATTGTCCCGCATTGTCTTTGCTTCGCAATTATCCTAGTGTCCAGATTTCGCGTGACTACCAAATAATAAAGGTTTTCTCGGCTATTTTTAATCATTTTCATTCGAAAGGACCGAATATTATATTCATATACGTCTAGCAACTTTCAATGCTCAATTTTGTCTTCTGTCAGACAAGTTCAAATTCAGTTGAAGCAAATTCACACAATAAGCACCCGTTTTCGGCCCGGAGTATTCGATTTCC